TGGCAGATCTGCTGCTGAAGAAAGGGCAAATATAGTGAGACCTGGTCTCTCTAGATACAGGCCACCAATGTCTGGTACAAATTATTGCCATTTGAGTGCTAGAAAAATGCAAAATCTTGGAACAGAAGTATTATGTTGAAGAAAAATGCCTAGATCTTGCCAATGACACATACAGGATATTAGAAAGGATACAACATTGAATAAATGGGTTTGTACTTGTAGAAGGAAGGAGGCATGCATGTACTATTTTCCCTCCTTATAAACAGACACCCATTCTAATTAGGCACTTTAACTTGATACTCAACTTGATTTTAATAGGTATTCTTGCTGGTAATGATTACTTTTTCATTATATCCAGTTGCTGCATACTTTAAAATGGAATTTCCCTCCAGCTTCTGCACCTTGTTTATCATTTTTTCAGAAATGAAAATACTAGCTAGTTCATGATTCATATAATATCACAAATGTCCAAACCATCACAAAGATCTAAGAATATGACCCCAAGATGTTTATCTTAAAGAAGGGGTTTACATGTCACCAGTGCATGATATGTTTCATATGAGTTGGGATGTATGGATACAGGGCTTTTTTTTCTGTTGGAATGTGCTAGAACAGATTTCCAGAACCTCTTCAACAAAATGCTTTAAATAATGTTTAAAGGTTCATGAGTTTTCAGTATACAGATTGGAAAACTTCATTTCCCTCTTGAGAGTTCTGGCACCTCTCTCTCTCTTTTTAAAGCACGGTATGGATGTATGCAAAGAGGCCTTGCCTACAAGATATATACATTTAGTTGTGGCACATGGGCCCCGTGTGTAGGACCTATTCACATATAAATACACATGAATAGTTCCTGGTCCACACTAGAGGTGTTTGGTGGTGAGAAACTTAAACCTCAAACTTGCTTCCCATCTCATCATGTGTAAGACATCATATATTCTAATAGCCAACAGAGGGCCCCGTGTGCGGATCCTTAGTCCCAGGAAAAGGAAGCTCCGTCTGCCTCAGAAACTGCTCCTACATACCCAGCATGCTTCCTGGATCTGCACAAAAATGCAAAAACTAAGAAAATCGCTCCAGGGATGACTGAATTCCCCCA